CTGTCACACATATATATATATATATATATATATATATATATATATATTCTAACAATAAATAAATACTTTAGTGCTTTCTCAGGTTGCCTTTGTTTTATATTGCATTTCATTTGAAGATCTAAAGCAATTTAGAAATACATAAAAAAACAGAAGAAATTATTAATCTATTTTCAAAGCACTGTAAAAAAAATTTTTTTTTAACTGCAATTCATGACCAATTTAAGATCTAATTCTGTCTCCTCTCTCTCTAGTACTGGTTATCATCTCACCTGGTGTTAAAGATCTCATCACTGAGATCAGGGGGATGACGCATAGATATGTCGCTGTCACACATATATATATATATATATATATATATATATATATATATTCTAACAATAAATAAATACTTTAGTGCTTTCTCAGGTTGCCTTTGTTTTATATTGCATTTCATTTGAAGATCTAAAGCAATTTAGAAATACATAAAAAAACAGAAGAAATTATTAATCTATTTTCAAAGCACTGTAAAAAAAATTTTTTTTTAACTGCAATTCATGACCAATTTAAGATCTAATTCTGTCTCCTCTCTCTCTAGTACTGGTTATCATCTCACCTGGTGTTAAAGATCTCATCACTGAGATCAGGGGGATGACGCATAGATATGTCGCTCTTCATAGACACACAGCTGGGCTCTGGAGATGATGCTCTCTGGTTCTGGTAGTGAACAGCAACCCTCTCCTCTCCCTCCTCACTGAGACTCATCTTAGAGGGGGCATTCATCTGTGTCTCCATGAAGATGTCAGTTCTGCACGCGAAGATAAAATGACAAAAACTGGACAGTCATTTTTAGATAGAAACTTTGATTTTATTTTGGAGGTAGTTTTTTTGTTGTTGTTGTTTGTTTTTATTTATTTGGATTAGATACATAAAATTACCAATGACCAAAACCTGACAGACTTTTTATATATATATATATATATATAGCTGATGGCTAATTTCAAATTTGATATTAATCACATCATAATAAAATAAATAAACATGCCATACTGAATTATAATGGAATCTGTGTATGAATCTTGGCTTGTATAAAATGTTTCTGTATTTTTAATGCCAGTGTATTAGCTACATTTTTATCAAAATAAACACTTTGATGAAGTGCATAAACTTAACATCTATTGATACAGATACAGTAATACAGATAAAATATCTATTCTTAATCCTGGTCCTGCACTTTCCAGTTCATGGAGCTCTCTTTAAAGAGGATTAGCGAACCACTTTAGGATATTCAATGGAAAGCTTATTTATTCAGCTTTCGGATCAGATTTCGAAAAATTGACACTTAAGACTGGTTTTGTGGTCCAGGGTCACATATCAATACAGCCTCTGCGCGTCTTACAGCATATTTCAAACATTATCGTTTCCTGGTCCAAAGCCTACATAAGATACCAAAAATATATAAACGCTGCTAATATACACTCGTGGTTGCGTTGTCTGTAGTAACGTTAGGCCCTACTCCCAAAAACAAAATCATGATTCTCTATACCTAAATCTCAGTTGGACAGCGATTCATCTTTTCTGAATCCGTTCAAATGTTGTCTAGGACACCACGAGTGCGGAGACTGTGTACAACGCGGTGAGTTTTTAAAAAAATGTAGATTAAAGGTGTGCTATAAATAAACAGTTAACAGCTTTTGATACTCACCTGAAACTGACTAGACTTGGACGTAGCTGTTCGATACACATCACGATAAGCGGATATTTTGAAAAGTTATGAGTTCAACTTTATGCAAACGCTAACGTTACACAGTTCGCGTCAAAGTAAACTTTGATCTTAAGACGCCAACTGACCCGGAAAAACTATCACCGCAACGTGTTCACATCCATATAGCCTAACGTTACACTGTTACAGTACAGTTAGGCCTATTTTAAGCATTATATGAACCACGAAATGAAATTCAAATACGACATTTTAGATTAAAATGATGAAATGAAGCACCCATATGAACTGCATGCATGTTACTCGATTGTTTGCACTGAGTGAAACCAAAAGTGAAACTAAACTGTAGTGCGCAGTACCTTATAGGCAGATCAGAATCACAAATTGAAATAGGCTATGCAACAGCACAAGTATTTATTAATTTTCCATGAATAATGACTTTTCTTGTTCCTCTGATGTGGCGACTTGTTGAAGCCCTCAAAACTTGTCTGGGACTAGAAATGTTTTTCTTCATAACCAGTCAAACCAAGATCATTCCAGGAATACGAACAATACCAGTTTTCCAGCATTAAAAATACACACAGACCCTATTTACACCTGAGGGGTGCAGATTGTGTCTCCAATTGCAATACTCCAGAATACAGTAAACGTGAGGATGTTACGTGAAATCACAGCCTATGTGTGATATTATAATTTTAAATTATTATAAAGCTATCTTTAACTGAACTCACAAAATTGATTTAACTCTACACATCTACCTTTCTAATCTTACATGTCACAAATCTGCATTCAAAAGGAAACAATTTGTATGAGTTTATGGTTACATTACTTTTACAAAATGCATGTTTTCTATATCTTATTGTAACAACGTTCGTAGTTCGGGAAGAAGGAGGCGGGACCCGGCGAACATTTAAGATTTTAATAATAAAATAAACAAACACAAAATAGCGCGACAGCCCCTCGCGGACGACTGTCGCGTACAAACAAAACCAAAACACAAAATAAAATCCAGGCCTGGTCCTCTCTCGTCTTTCACTGTTGTCACTCCTACTTTTATCCTTCCGGAGCTCCTCCGTGAGACTCGAGACCGGTGAGTGGCGCAGGTGTCGCGCATTAGCAATTACTCCACCGGCCTCGCTCCGTTCCCACGGCCCCGCCCCTCTCGTCACACTTATATATATATATTTTTTTTTAATCCAGGTATCAGTATTGGCAAGTACAAGAAAGTGTCGGTATCATACTTGTTCTCTAAAAAAAGTGATACTGTGACATTCCTATTTATCGTATTTAGTGCATTGTAACCACAACTTAGTTCTGAACACTTCTATGTTCATGATCTTTTCTGTTTTTATTTCACATGAGTGAACAGAGACAGAGGAGGAACCAGGAAATTATGCAGCTCAGACTCAAACCTGCGGAGGACCACAGTTCCAATGTGTCTTGAGCTAGTGCCCTACCCCACTGTGTCACAGTTCTGATGCACAACTTTGTGGTAATTAACAAATACAGCCAATTAGACTGAAGTGAAAGAGTGTATTAATGAAGTAAAGAAACTGTTCTCCATTCATATGTTCGTCTGTTATAGTTTACCATATAATGTAGTCACAAGGAGGCAGTATTGCATCAAAACTGCAGGCTGTATGAGCCTGCTGAATGATAGTTTCTCTCTCAAAGACTTTGGAGCAGATGATAAGCAATAGTACTGTAATTACAGTAGTTTTACAATTTATTTTACAGATCGAAAATGTTAGACTGTAAATTTACTTGTATAATGTAAAATAACATGAAAAACCTGTAACTGAATAAAAAAAAAAGTTTTTTAAAGAAAAGTTGGTAACACTTTATTTTGATGGTCTCTTTTGAACATTCTGTTGACAATAGAACCTTGCACTTACATGTCAACTAACTCTCATTAGAGTATTAGTATAATATATAATAGTATAATTAATATCTGCTTATTCTTTATTGTGGTGGTCTCCCAACAGACTTGACTATAAGCAACTTTGCAAGAACATGTCAACTCAGTCTAACCCTAACCCTACCACTCTACTAATACTCTACTGACACTCTAGTGAGAGTTAGTAGATATGTTATGTAGGTGCAACATTACTTATAGTCAACAGAATGTGTTAAAGGACCATCAAAATAAAGTGAAACCAAAACGTTTTCTTTACCCTCATTCACTATTCCCTACATGAGGATACTATATATTACTATATAGTCCACTCAATGATTTTTGGGAATTTACAGTTTTTCTCAGTTGTTTTGGTTCAAGCATATAGAGCACATTCTGACAATGGAAGATGAATAAGGAAACAAAGAGGGTCAACAGCCAGGAAGAAGGTGAGTAAGGATTTGAGGTGGAAGGGTATTACTTATAAAGCCCTGAATGGTTTAGCACCTCAGTATTTGAACGAGCTCTTATTGCATTATAGTCCTCCACGTCCGCTGCGTTCTTAAAACTCTGGCAATTTGATAATCTGGTTTCTCCCAAGGTTTTTTCTCCATTCTGTCACCGATGGAGTTTTGGTTCCTTGCTGCTGTCGCCTCTGGCTTGCTTAGTTGGGGACACTTCATTTCCAGCGATATCGTTGACTTGATTGCAAATATACTATTTAAACTGAACTGAGCTGGATGATAACATCACTGAATTCAGTGATGAACTGCCTTTAACTGAAAATTGAGTGTTTACTATTGTCCTTTTGCATTATTGACACTATTTTCCTATTTAATACTGTAAAGTTGCTTTGACACAATCTGTATTGTTAAAAGCGCTATATAAATAAAGGTGACTTGACTTGAAGGCAAAAGAGTGACCACAGGTTTACTTACAGCAGGTGGAGCATGATGGCCAACATGAGGAGCCGGTGGGTAAGTTTCAAAACATTTGGTGATGGTTCACCTCTAGAAGGCATTCATTTGTTGAACCCACAAACAAGTGTGGTTTTACCTTGGGTGACTTTTATAATGTAGAATAGATTTTAATACATTTAAATGAAATTTAATAAATATGCATGTAATATACAAGGATAGAGTTATAGTTGTATTATGTATAGTAATACAGGTGCATCTCAATAAATTAGAATGTCATGGAAAAGTTCATTTATTTTAGTAATTCAACTAAAATTGTGAAACTCGTGTATTAAATGGGATCCCAGACTCTCCACCAGAAAACATAAAAGTTCAGGAGGGAGGTGGAACTGAGGCGGACCAGGGGGAGGGATGGCGGGCCAGGACCATGCATAGGAAGGGGATCAGGGAACAGAGGTAGACCAGGGTGTAAGAGCGGAACGGGCAGGGTGGAAGGCCAAGGTGGGGCCGGCAGGACGAACCAGCAGGGCCCCAACCATACAGGAACCCCCAGCAGATAGCCAGGATGGAGCTGGAGGAATGAGCCAGTGAGGCTCCTGCCACACCAGAACCCAGGCGGGCAACCAGGGCGGAGCCGGAATCCTGTCAGGCAACATTGGTGGGACAGAAAACCCTCTCAGCAACTCAGGAGTACCTAAAAACAAGAGCAGAGAGAGTTTAGTAACAGCCTCAACGGCTGCAACAGGACAAGCCGATTGCTCCGCAACGGTCCCCGTTAGCTCCCGGACGGGAGCGGGCTCTGGAGCGGGCTCCCGGACGGGAGCGGGCACTGGAGCGGGCTCTGTGGGCTCCCGGAATGGAGCGGGCTCTGGAGTGGGTTTTCCCGTCTTCCTTCTCCCCCTCCGCCGCTTAGTTGGAGTCTGAAGGATAGAGGTGGTGGGAAAACCCCTGCAGAAGGTTTCTGATTGGCCTGGTTTTGCCCACTGACTTCGACCCTGGAGATATCTGACGAAGCCCCAGAAGTCTAGGATCTCGAGTCCTTTCACCTCCCACTGGGGCAAAGGATTATCCAGACAGATGTTAAGGAGGTCCTTAAGTGCAGCATCATTGTAATTTAGGCCCACTGCCAATGTCCAAAAGGTCTGGGCAAACCCACCAACCTCCATTCCTTCCTGCCGCCAAGCCATCAGAGTCCGGTGTCGGATCACTCACTCCTTCCCTGTGGCAGGAGGGACAATCCGAAGGTCCATGATTCAAAAAAGGAAAAAAGAAAAACAAACTGCTGGATCTTGTAGTGGCTGCTATTTTCTGTCACGGAACACCAGGAGAAACAAGGTAAGATCCAATTGCAGTTTATTGAAAGTAACAAATGATCAAAACAGAACAAAAACGTGGCAAAAGGTAATCCAA